TAGGTGCCTCTAAGTATAATGACAATGGAGCCGAAAAAGAGCCTCGCTCTCGCTCGAAGATTTCTTCGTGGAGTCCACCAGGCCCATAAAGGAACTCCGACCCCCCAAAGAATTAAAAAAAAATAAAAATAATTTAAAAAGTCATCATCATCTCTTTGAACTCAAAAACGTGTTTTCGATCCATACGTTTCTCCACCATTTTGTTGCAATGTAGCACCCGCACAGCCTGGGCTGGACTGACACCAGGAAGGTATCGATGTCATCCACTCATCTCACACTGTTCACAATGAGCCAACGGGGTTGCAAAACAGCTCCAATTACTCTCCTACTCCTGCATAAATCACAAGAATACCCACTCTGCAGCTGGTTCATAATGGAATGAATGTTGTCAATTTTTAAGATCCAACAGTTTGATGTACATAGATCAAACAGAATAAAAGTTGCCATTTAGAATTTTCGTATTGCCTTCTGCAGATTAAATCTCGCTCAGTATGTTTTTGGATAGTTTCAGTCTGATGGCAAGAGTCATTGATTTCACTGAAAAGTGAATGGTGATGTGGGTGCTTAAAAGCACAAGCTCTTCCGGTGTAGTAACATAATACATGTATAGCTGTTACATTTGGCCTGCACGCACTTTTGGGTTTGGAGTGAATGCATTTTTATACCATACTTTGAGGAGTTTTAGCACTGCATTTCCGGTACAATATATCCTTATATTGAAATATAGGCTGACTAAGCTGATATCTCACCCGTGAAATATAAACATTTGCATAAATTACTCCGCACACTTTATTCGCCTTCTGCTTCTATCCCTCTGCAGTAAGCAAGGTAGTAAAAAACTTATATTTACCTTATGGTTGTTTTGTTTGGGGTTTGTTTCGCGGATGGAGACATACGATGGCACAACTTGTAAATTAGCATGGCTAAAAGTAAAGGAAAACAATCCAGATTTTTTATAATTTTCAATCTGACTCCGACGGGCATGAAAATGTTTCCATGTGAGACTCTAGATAGCATCCCCTTGTTCAACTGTTTGGTCATTTGAACTTTGTGGGTACTTTCGCAGGCTGATATCAGTACGGTATAAACATTTATTACACTCGTTATGGTGTTAGACCATGATTTATCCTACTTGTGAAATTTTCAGTTGTAATCTCTCGTTAAAAACTCATGATTAAAACTTAGCAATTTCTCTCGTAGGATAAATCATGATCTTACACCACATCTCAAGTAATAAATTCTTTTTATCACATACCACCAGTAATCAAGTGGTAAGGCTACCAGAGTCGTTAATGTGAGGCTGTGGGTGAGGCTGCTCCGCCTCAGGCTGACGTTCCGTCCTTGGGAAAGGAATTCTACACACATTTTCCTTACTTCATCCAGGTGTCAGTGGGTACCTGGCCGTAGACAGCGAAATATCGTGTCAGTATGTCAGCGTGTTGCGTCTATAGTATAGCAGATTGCACTGTATGCCCCCCC